GATGTCACGACAGCGCGGGTACCTCGCAGGACCCTACTTGCGCATCAATCACCTCCCCCAGTGCACCAGTATCCTGAACTCTTTCCCCAGGACGTGCTATTGTAATTCCCACGATCTCGGAGGAGTAGTTAGAGTACAGACTAGACCCATAATCCCTCAGGGTTTCATAGTCCCATTTCAGTAGGAGAGCCTGGCGCAGCGGGCGTCCAGCACCCTCAACCCTGAACACATGTCCTTCCTCTTTCAAAAGCAACCACCCTGACTCTTCCAGGATTCTTCACCCAGGAGAGCTACATGGAAGGGGTGGCCCCTCCCGTCAGAGGGCATCTATGCATTTGTATGATTAAACACTGAGCAAAAAGTATATTCTGTAGTTTTTCTCCACTCACCTCTCTCTGCCTCTTTCCTTCCTCCCTCCATCTCCTTTTCCCCTTCTCCTAAAGATGCAGATTCCTGAGGCCAATCCTAAGAGAATTGCCTGGAACTACAAGTGGGGTGGGCAGGCTGGGCACGTGCCACACACACACTCACACACTCAGATTGACTTCCTCTACCCTCCCCCACCCTGACTCTTTCCCTAGCGGTAGGTGCTCAAGGAATCACAAGGTTCTTGACTCTAAATTAAGATCCAAGAAAAGCTTGGAGCTGTGGGCAAGGAAGTGAGAAGGAAGCCTGAGAAGTGAGAGTAGGCCCTGGGGTGGGGAGATAACAGCGGCCTGGGTAGTTGTAGAGAGGGGCCGGGAGCTAGACAGGGAGCCACTTGGGGAGTTTTTCCCCCCAAAGGATGCTCAGCAGCAGTGAATCCTGGGGAGCAGCAGCTTTGCTGGCAGCCAGCAGCATGGGAGGGGAGATGTGGGTAGAACTGGTGGATGAATGAGCTGGGGAAGAACGCAGGGCAGGGTGGGGATGTGACAATCCCTTCTCTTCCCCAGTAAAAGCTGAAAATCTGGGTCACAGCTGAGGAAGATCTCGAGCATGGAGTCCAGGATGTGGTAAGTTCGGCACAGCGGAGGGAGCGTTCATGAGGTCTTGGCCCTTTCCTCCCTAGACCATCAAGGGCCTTCCATCCTAAGGGCTAGACCCTGGGAAGATAGGAAATGAGGCTGAACCTTCCCAAAGCCCGCCTGCTTTTGCAGAGAGACCTGGAGAGAGGCAGCTGGGGATCATAGGTATGCGCCTGTCTTCCCCACACACAGGCCCAAGATGGGCTTCTGTCTCACCCTCTCTTTCTCCCTTTTTGTAGGCCTGCACTGCTGCTGTCCCACCTCCTCCCTCTCTGGCCACTGCTGTTGCTGCCCTTCCCACCACCTGCTCAAGGCTCCTCCTCCTCCCCTCGAACCCCACCAGCCCCAGCACGTCCCCCATGCGCCCGGGGAGGTCCCTCAGCCCCACGCCATGTCTGTGTGTGGGAGCGGGCACCCCCACCAAGCCGATCCCCTCGGGTTCCAAGATCCAGGCGGCAAGTCCTGCCAGGCACCGCGCCCCCTGCCACCCCATCAGGCTTTGAAGAGGGGCCACCCTCATCCCAGTATCCCTGGGCTATTGTATGGGGCCCTACAGTGTCTCGAGAGGATGGGGGGGATCCCAACTCTGCCAATCCTGGATTTTTGCCCCTGGACTATGGCTTTGCAGCCCCCCATGGGCTGGCTACCCCACACCCCAACTCAGACTCCATGCGGGGTGATGGAGATGGGATCATCCTTAGAGAAGCACCTGCCACCCTTCGGCCATTCTTGTTCGGGGGTCGTGGGGAAGGTGAGTGGGAGTGTGAGAGGGCGGTAGGGATATGAGGGTGGGGAGGCTGGTTGAAGCTCAGGGCAGCAAGCGAGGCCTTGTCTGTTAGCTCCTTCCACAAATGTGTCAGGCACCACGCTGGCACAGGAGGCAGAGATGAAGACGCGTCTGAGCCCTGGAGGAGCTCAGGGCCATCGGAGAAGACAGATGTGTAAACACTTGGGGATGTCAGTGTAATAAGTGCTCTACTAGAGGCATGCTCAGCATGTTGCTTAAGAAAAGAGGAGAGCCCTAGCCGATTTGGCTCAGTAGATAGAGCATCAGCCCTCAGATGGAAGGGCCCTGGGCTTGATTCTGGTACACGAATTCCTGGCCCTGGTTGAGGCGTGCGGGAGGCAACCAATTGATGTGTCTCTCTCACATTGATGTTTCTCTCTCTGTGTCTTTTCCCTTCCCTTCCACTCTCTCTAAAAATCAATGGAAAAAATATCCTAGGGTGAGGATTAACCAAAAAAAAAAAAAAAAAAGAAAGAAAAGAAAAGAAAGGAGAGACGGCCTCTGCCTGGGGATCAGGACACCTTCCAAGAATTGACATTTGAACTGAACCTTGAGTGGGTGCATTCCATGCAGAGGAACACCATGGAAGGAACCCCAGGGTGACAGCTCAGCTCAGAGAGTGCAGAGCCAGGGCCAGTGGTTTGGGGGTGAGGCCAGAGCACAGATGGACGGTTCCACCCCCTGGTTTCTGTACAGAGAACAGGGTTCTCTCTGACCTCGGAGCCCCTCCTCATCACATATATACAGGATTGGGAAAGTGGGGGGTTTGGGAGGAAAAGAGCTGAAAACTCCGGGTAAAGCTGATGAATGGAATAAAGGGGGAGAGGCTCTAGAAAGAGTTGGGCAACGTGGATTCACATTGGCAGCCCTCCTCAAGCTTACTGAACCTGCAGCCTAGCCCCGTCCCCACTCCCTCGTGGCTCCTACCACACTGAGCCCCCTTAAAACTTTCTTCCCACCCCAATCAGGTGTGGACCCCCAGCTCTATGTCACAATTACCATCTCCATCATCATTGTTCTCGTGGCCACTGGCATCATCTTCAAGTTCTGGTAAGCTGTGGGGATGAGGGTGCTGGCCGTTGGGAACTGGATGTTTGGCTGGAAGGAGGGAAGAAGCAAGGGCAGGATTTTGCTGGGGGTGGGATAGGGAGTGGTAGATTAAAGCACGACCTTGAGGAAAGGTAGTTAAGGATTTGGGTGGGGGGAGACAGTGAGAAACCAGGGCACATTCCTTCTCCCAGGGACACACAAGGTTAATGGGAGGGGTGGGGGGTTATCATGTGCATTAGGGGCTTTGCTGGGCATTCCTTGTCCTTGTCCCTCCAAGGCTGAGAACAATGACCCAGTCTGCAGAGCCCCTTCTTAGGGCACCTGGGGAGGAGGGAGTAAATCTGGAGCTTTCTTGGCCTGTGTTTAATAATGGGTCACCCAGTCCTTCACACGTTACTGAGAGAATCATTAAAGTGTCCAGGTCATTAGCTGGCTTTGAACTAGAACTAAACCTGCCAAGGTGCTTGCTGAGGAGAGAAATGGTTTTTCTGGGTACGCCTCCCCAGGCGGCGATTCCGGGGGATTCCACCTGTTGGTGGGGAGGAAGTACTAACTCTGTGGATCTGGACCAGGTTGGGGGGATGGTTTAGATCCCAGCCCAGGAGAAGTGGTTTTATGGACACTTGGTTTCAGATTTGGTGTAGGGAACTGTTAGAGGCCGGTTTCTCAGCTGTAGGATCTTAGGGGTGCCTAAGGGAGGCTGGGGGTGACCAACCCTGCAGGCTCAGGATGGGGGCTTCTTAAGTGTGTGAGAGAACCTCTTCCCTTCCGGTGCACCAGCTGGGACCGCAGCCAGAAGCGCGCTAGCAACTCAGGAAACCAAGGTTCCCTGAGGAGGAGGAGAGCAGCAGCCGCTGACAGACCTGGCCCCGGCGGGGTCACTGTGCTGGGGCCTACGGGGATTCACCCACCCCCCACCCCTGACCACGAGGAGCCCCGAGGGGGACCCCGGCTTGGGCCTGGGATACCCCAGCCCAAAGGGGCTCCAGCCTTCCAGTTGAACCGGTGAGGGCCAGGGCAAAAAGAATGGAGGGCGGGGAGGGGAGGACGTTTAGGTCTCTGGAGCTGTGGTTGGGGGTGCTCCCTCCTGGGTGGGTGGGAAGGAGGTAGGCCTGGCCCTCCCAGAGCCCCTGGCTCTCCTTCCCAGCCTGGTCCCTGGCCCTCCCAAGGAGCCAGGACCCCTCCTCTCTGAGGGGACCCTTCCTTCTCCTGCTCTGTGGATCTCTGTCCTATTCTCATGCTGCCATTTAACTCCAACTCCGCCCTCTTAGCCTTGACTCCCCTTGTCTTGGACTCCCCTTTCAATTCCGGCTTACCCCTTGTTTCCTGACTGCGCCCTTTCCCTCTTCCTCTCAGGATTCCCCTGGTGAATCTGTGATGCCCATCAATGTTGGGGTGCCACCAAGCAGGAGGCCAAGGGGCCGGCATAGCCACCATCCCACTGAGGGTAGGGCAGCTGTGGGAGCTGGGGCTGCAGGTGCTCCTGGCTTCTGCCCTGGCACACCACCCTGGAACACTCACTGGCCCTGTAGGCAATCCTATCTGCTCACCCTCCTTTAAGTGGGGCCTCTGGTTTCTGGTGCCCCATCCCCACCCTTGCACACTCACATGAAAGCCTTGCACACTCACCTCCACCCTCACGGGCCATTGCACACACTCATGCTCTTGTGCAGCCAGCCTTCTGCACCCTCTCCCCATCCACCTCTCTCCCCTCTGCTGACCCCTCACATTCTCCCTTTTGTTTCTCATTTTTCATTTTCTCTTCCCACATTTCATGCTCATCTCAGTCACTCAGTGGTCAGTGGCTGACTTTACCATTCCTCTCACATGCATTTCCTGGCCCCATGTTGTGTTGTGTGTTGTGCTTACATTCTCCCTCATGAACACCCACTGATCTATTTTCTGTGGCTCCTGCATGCTGCCCAGAGGTGGGTGGGAGGTGAGCTGGGGGCTCCTTGTGCCCCCCATCTGTCATGGCCCATCCTGTTCCCTGTCATGTGTTTCACTCTCTCCCTCATTCCACTCCATGGGTGATCTCATACCCTGAGGGCTCCCATAAGGATGAGGGTAGTGAGGCCCCACACTTCTCCCCCACCCCACTGCTAAGTTCTGTTGTCTGGGAGATGGGTTTTGGGGAGTCCTCCACCCCACTGCTAAGTTCTGTTGTCTGGGAGATGGGTTTTGGGGAGTCCTCCACCCCACTGCTAAGTTCTGTTGTCTGGGAGATGGGTTTTGGGGAGTCACCTGCTGCACTACCCACGAAAGGGGCTCCCATTTGCCCTGCCCTTCCTCCTAAGTCCCTTTTGTCTTATCTGTCCTGGCTGTCTGTGTGTGTGTCACTCTCTGGAATTCAGAGCCCCCTGAGCCAGTCCTCTACTTCCCAGCCTCTCTAAGGGCCTCCCTAATTCCACTGAGGCTGCCAGGGAATGGAGCCAGCTGGTTCAAGGCCATTGGGAGCTCTACCTCCCAATTTATCCCTCCCCTCTGGGGCTCCCTAACATCTCTCCTTCCCTCCCTCCTTTGTTCTTCCACTCTCCCTCCTTTTGTCCCCCTGCCCCCAGGTTTCTCCCTACTTCTCATAATTTTTCCCACCTTCCTTCTTCCTCTCTTACCTGGCTCCTATGCTGTGATATATATTTTTGTATTATCTCTTTCTTCTTGTGGTGATAATCTTGAATTCTTGTGGGATGTAAGTTTCAAAATTTTCAAATAAAGCCTTTGCAAGATACCTGAGTTCCCTGATTCTGTCTTATGAGCCCTGTAGAGTGGACGGGAGGAGAGGTGATGGGCGGCCAAGAGGGAGAAAGAGGATGAACCTGGGAACCCCTCCAGCCCAATGTGACCGGCCTCCTCTGACCTGGAGTTGGGATTCAAGGGCTTTAACTCAGGACCAGCTGGAAGGAAGAGAAACTAAGGGAGCAGACAGAGCAAGAGAAACTGGAAGAATGGCTTGCCTGTCACTTGCCAGTGCAGGTCAAGAGAGACCATGTGAAAGGAGACAAAATAAGGGCAAATTACATAGAAGGACAGGCAATGGAGAAGCAAGAAAATGAAGAAGAGAGAGCTGATAATACAGATGGAGGGTGAAAGGTGAAAGAAGAGAAAAATGAGCAATGGGAAAGAGGCTGCCCTGCTTGGTTTATTTTCAGCCATGCTCCCTAACCTGCCCCCCAAAAGCTGTGTAGCATTAGAAGCCCTGTAGTTAACGCATTAGCTTTCCCCACTCTGCTTTCTCTGATAGCGTGTGGAGGTGGAATCAAGGGGTGTGTTTGGGGGAGGGGATCCAAGCTGCCCAGCTGGGATCAGTCACCTCTGAGCCCCCAATTCTAGGTTTGGCTCTTATAACAACCCTGCAAAAGCCCACACACACATCAGCCTCTCAGCTGTTGCTAGGCTCCGTTGCCATGGTAACCACCCAGGTCCCATTTCTCTCCCCACCCCCATCTGTTCCCCCCTTGCTCCCTGGAAATGGGGAGCTCCAGGGAGGAGAGGAGACTGTAATGTGCCAAAAGGCATCTGGGCTGCCCCGGGCTGTGTATGCATACATGTGTTTATATTTGTAGCTCAAATTAGGAATGTACATGGGTTGGTAGGTGTGTGCGTTAAGTGTTGGAGAGCTTGACTGTGTACTCAGGGAAGTAAGACTGAGTCCATGCAGCGCACAAAGGTTAGTGGGGAGGAGGCAGCATATTTCTCAGGACCAGAGCAGTGTGTGCATTCAGGATGTCAGACTCCCTAAGAAAAAGACAGACTGTGACAGAGGGAAGAAGCAGAGTGGGGCCAAGGAGTGATAAACCAACTAAAAGCAGAGGTACAAAGCAAATAAGCTGCTGATGAGGGCTCAGAGGCAGCCCAGTGGGGCCTGAAGAGATCCCAGTGGGTAGCTGGTGGACGGGATGGCTGGATGGGACTGAGGGTCCAGGAAGAGGCGCTGATGGGAGAGGTTGAGGGCAGTGAGAGAGGAATCCTGGAGGATGGGAGAGGAAGCCTCATTAACCTTTCTCTTCTTTCCCCACAGGAATCTAGTCCTTGTCAGGTGCAGGGAGGGGGAAGCACAGGACGGAAGGGGAAGGAGCTCAAGTGCCTGGAGAGCACACTCAGCTCTATCACCTTCAGCAACTGTCTCTTCAGAGGGACAGTGTGACCCTGTGGCTCATCCATATGCAAAAGGCACACATGAAGGCCCCTGATGAAGAGGGAATTAATTATTGCCTGATTAGACTGCTGTTTCTCTAAATTTAAATATATTAAAATACACCAGAAAAACACTGGAAATCCTCACCTGCTCCCTCTCCCTAAATGCTCTCTTCCCTATGGAAAGTCAGGTGGAGAGACAGAGGAGAAAGGAGACATCCTAGTCTTCTGAGTTGTCCTTCAGGAATTACCCCAAACTAAATCACACTGCCATGCTGACCAGGAAGAGTCTTGAGTCCACAGGGAACAGATCCTAACCTTTCTCATGGAGTTGAAAATGAAACGATGGGACCTTGGAGGCCCTCAGAAGGCTGCCAGTAAGTGGTAGAGCAGAGAGTCACTGCATAATGACAGACGAAGAACATAAACAATGACTATACTGCCCTTTTGGTTCTTGGATCGCAGGCACTACTGGGACCAGGGTCTCTCATCACTGTACTTTCTTTGCCTCCTGAGCTGTGCATCAAATGATTCAGCCAGGCTTCTCTTAAGCATTTTTCTGGAATGCTTACCATTGTGGCTCAGACCAAACCAGGAATGGGGAACCCCCCGGGAGGAGGGATCTCCCAGGCAGAGCTCAGGGTGTGGAAGTGATTCAAGATGGTAACAGTGTGCCAGCTGGAAAACCCCAAGCTAAAATTAACAGCCTTCCTCCCTCTACACCCCACATTTCTCTATCTAAAGCTTCTCTCTGAGGAGTTCAAGGAACTTAAAGACTTGCTTCTTAGAGCGAGAGCAGGACTGACAGTTGCAGACACTGAGGCCCAGGGAGTATCAGTTAATGTAAAGAGGAAAAGAACTAGAAGAGAACCAGGACTTATAGTGATGACTACTATTTTGCTCCCACTTTTCTCTCAGCCCCCAAGTTCAACATTTCTCAAATCATCGATCTCTAACTCATTCAGCAACTGGGTCTGGTCACATCTGAGCCCTTAAGACTGTTGCTACCAGGTTAACTGTTGCTAGCCCTAGCTGTTGCTACCAGGTTAACACAGACAGTGCAGACCCCCAAAAGGTGATAAGAATATTAGATACTTTAAAAAAGATATGAACAGCAACAGAGTGCAGAATCTGGGAGGGAAGGTGGGGGTGGGTGGGAGGTAATCAACCAAAGACCTTGTATGCATATATGCATAACCCATGGACACAGATAACAGGGTGGTGAAGGCCCAGGGTGGAGGGATAGGGTGGGCTGGAGGGGTCAATGGGGGGAAAAAGGGAACATATGTAATACTTTCAACAATAAAGATTTATTTTTTAAAAAGATACAAATAGCCCTAACTGGTTTGGCTCAGCGGATAGAGCGTCGGCCTGGGGACTCAAGGGTCCCAGGTTCGATTCCGGCCAAGGGCATATACCTTGGTTGCGGGCACATACCCAGTGGGGAGTGTGCAGGAGGCAGCTGATCGAGGTTTCTCTCTCATCGATGTTTCTAACTCTCTATCCCTCTCCCTTCCTCTCTGTAAAAAATCAATAAAAATATATTTTAAAAAAATAAACACTTAATGTAAATGTTTAAAAATACATGTATTTTTAAACATTTACATTAAGTGTTTATTTATTTATTTTTTAAATATATTTTTATTGATTTTTTACAGAGAGGAAGGGAGAGGGATAGAGAGTTAGAAACATTGATGAGAGAGAAACATCGATCAGCTGCCTCCTGCACACTCCCTACTGGGTATGTGCCCACAACCAAGGTATATGCCCTTGGCCGGAATTGAACCTGGGACCCTTAAGACCGCAGGCCGACGCTCTATTCACTGAGCCAAACCGGTTAGGGCGTAAGTGTTTATTTTTAGGTGTTCTTTTCTAGTTCATTGCTGTGATCTTGGGGGAAAAAATCACTTAAATCGTTCCTATTTTCATTATTTGTAAAATGGGCATTATAGTTATTTTGGGGTTATTTTGCTCTCTGACCAAGGGGCTGTTTCTGTTAATAGGAGGGACTTCAATTCTGTTTCAGCCAAAATAAAGCTGAATCCAGAGCTGAACCAGGGTGCAGACTAGTGGCAGCATTCATTTACTCAAATAACATACAGTAGTCTTTCCTTATCTGCAGGGGATAAGTTCTAAGACCCCCAGGGGATGGTATGGAAATATACATATTATATATATAAAATATGTGTTTTTTCTATACATAGATACTTTTTACTTTTTCTTTTAAAAATTTTTTGTTGATTTCAGAGAGGAAGAGAGAAACATCAATGATGAGAGAAAAACATTGATTGGCTGCCTCCTGCATGCCCCTGACTGGGGATTGAGCCTGCAACCCGGGCATGTGCCCTGACCGGAATCGAACCATGACCTCCTGGTTCATAGGTCAACGCTCAACCACTGAGCCATGCAGGCTGGGCCATATCATATATACCTTTTCACTTACAGGAATCACTTCCTGGCTTTTGAATTGCCATATCTGAGTTGCTAGCACCACCACTCTGGTGCTTTGGGGCTATTATTAAATAAAATAAGGGTTACTTGAACACAAGCACTGCAATACCTCCAGAGTCAACATGACAACCAAGATGTCTACTAAGGAACTAATGAGAGTGAGGAGAATGTACATCTTGGAGAGCCTGGAAAAGGGATGAGTCGTGTCCCATACTCAGCTGGATGGCTGGAGATTTCATCACGCTACTGAGAAAGGCATGTAATTTAAAAGTTATGAATTGTTTATTTCTGGAATTTTCCACTTAATATTTTTGGACCACAGTTGACCAAGTGTAACAGAAACAGCGGAAAGCGAAACTGTGGGTGAGCGGTGTATAACTATTCAGCATTTACTATGTGCTCAGCGAAGCAGCTCCTCTTCCCTGAGAGCTGACAACCTTGCTGAAGAGTCATGTATATGAAAGAGATAAAACAGCAACGAAAGGTACAGACTAAATGCTGTAGGAATTCAGAGAAAGGCACCGTATGGGTTGGAGCAATCAGGGAAGGCTTCCTGAAAGAGTTCACATTAAGTATTCATTTATGCAACAAACATTTACCGACCACTAACTAAATGCCAGGCTCTGAGGATACAGCAGCAAACAATTCAAAGAGCTTGCCCTCACGAGGCCGATATTCTAGTGGGAAGAGATGGAAACAATACAATGTCGGGTAGTGACGAGTGCCCTGTGTAAAAGCGAAGCAGAGTGGGGAGACAGAGACGTGGAGGTGAGCAAAAAGAACCTAGAGACTAAAGCAGAGAGTAAGGGGTGTGGTCAGGGAGGGATCGGATTTTTTGTTGTTAATCCTCACTCGAGGATATTTTCCCATTGGTTTTTAGGGAGAGTGGAAGACAGGGGGAAAGACAGAAACATGATGTGAGAAAAAGTCATGGGTTGGTTGCCTCCTACAAGAGCCCTGACCAGGGCCCGAGCGGGGGAGGAGCCTGCAACCAAGGTAGGTGCCCTTGACCGGATTCGAACCGGGAGCCTTCCGTCCGCAGGCTGACGCTCTAGCCACTGCGCCACCCGGCTGGGGCGGGGTGGGATTTTGATGGCTGGGGAGAGGTTATTAGTTACTCTCTGGGTCTAAGTAGGAACCTCAGAAAACGGACACATCCAGTCCTCACCCGCGTATTCAAAGCATTGAAACATTCTTGAGAGTACCATATAGAAAAACAAAAACGGTCACTTTCTACGTCGCCTCTTCCCCCACCGAGGTAAGGGAGACGGGACCCTAGTCTTTAAGAACCCGCAGGTCCGCCCGTACCTTGATGCATAATTCATGAACCTGTCGCGGTTCCGCCCTCCCACTTCCCTAGAAGCCCCTTCCGGAAGCCGGGGCCCGCCGGGCGTTCGGAAGGGAAGGTTCGGCTTCTGCCCTCAGCCGAACGCTCCTTCACTTCCGTTGTGGCGTCACATCCACGGAGGTTCCACCGGGTCCCGGAGCCGAAGCCACTTCCGCCCCTCCGCGGCGTCACTCCGGGCCTCAGGACTCCTGGCGCGAGCGGCGCCGGATGTGCTCTACCGCTTCCGGAAGTGACTCGACCTTTGCATTTCCCCCCCCTTCCCAATTGCCGCCCCCCCCACATTGCTATTTCCCTCCCTCCCCCCTTTTTCGTTTCCGGCGCTCCCGCCTTCTCTCCGTGGCGGCTCAACTCGGACCGTGTGGGGGGGAGGGAGGGAGGGAGGGAGGGGGCGTGGAGGAATTGGGGTTCTCAGGAGCACTAGCGGCAGCACCACTTCCGGGTGAGTGTTAGGGGGAGGGAGGGCGGTAGAAAGGGGGCCACCCACTGCCTGGAGCCCCCGCCCTGCGGGTGTCTCGCGCGCATTCCGTGTGTGGGAGTGTGTGGGTCTGTCTCGCGCCTAAAGTGCGTGCCCGCGCGCTCCACCGCGCGCGCTCCCCCTCCCCTCGCCCCCTCCGGTCCTCCCACCCCAATCGGCTCCCTCCTCTCCCAGCCGACGCCGCCCCTCCCGCGCTCTGGCGCCGCCGCTGCCGTCGCCGCTGGGTGAGTCTCGCGCCGCTGCAGCCGGCGCGCGCCAAGCTCTCTGCTCCTCCCCCTCCCCTTCTCGCTGGGGGGGGGGGCGTGGAAGGGGGGGCTTCACGGTGTGACTGTACGTGTGTCCGTCCCGGAACCGGAAGTGGTTGTGGAGGAGCGGGCGATGGGGAGGCATGGGGGGGCTTAGGGGGCGGGTGTCTGGCTGGTGGGTGGCAGAGTTCAGCTCCCTGGAGGAGAAGGAGGGACGTCCCAGAGAAGGGTCTTTGATGAAGGGGTGGGCGGCGACCTCAGGAGAAAGCTGCCAGGGGCTGTTTCAAGGGAGCAAAGGTTTTGGGGGGACAGCTGGGGTCTCCAATAGATAGACCACTGTGCAGCCCGAGGGAGGTACTTCTTGGCGCAAGGCCTTTGGTAGGCAGGGGCGAAGTCCTCAGAGAAGTGGAGGGGGGAGACCAGAGGAAGTGGCTGGGCCTGAACTGGCACCGTGCCTGACACAAGGGCTTGTGCACCCCCTAGTCCCCAGTTTCCCCTCCGAGCCAGTCCTTAGGGGTAGGGACCTTTCTCTTCCAACTCTGCTGTTCTCTGGCCCCTGGTTCCCTGTGGCCCTGAGGATCGAAGAAGAATCAGTGTCTTCTTCAGGAGTGGAACCCAAACACTGGTGATAGAGATCATCTTAGTTTCTGGGAGTTAGATTTATTTCCCTTGTATCTACAAAGGGGTGGCACTGCACTCCTGTTATTATATCCTTGCACCTTTGGATGGTTGGCTGGGGGTCCACCTGCTTTTCCGACTGACTGCTGACAGTCAAAGAATTCCTCCACAGTTCTCTGGTGTCTGCACCCTTAACTGGCCCGTGTAACCCAGACAATTTGTTTACAGAAAGTTCAGGAGCCCTGGAAAGGAGAAAGAATAAAACAACAGGAGGAAGAGAGAGAGAGGGTAAGACAATTTTGGGTTAATGGTTTTTCTGGTTTGGGGTGGAGAAGGGGTCATAATAAAATAGGTTTTTTGGGGAGACAGTAGGACAGAATTCTTTAAGTAATAGCAATTGTAATACTGGTGTTTGCTGTGGGAGAAAAATCAGCCTTTTTCTATTATCTCTTGGGGGTACACAGGAAGTTTTTGTGTAAAAAGTCTCCGTCCCCATCACCTTCTCTTCCCACCAATACTCATCAGGAATGAATTATGAAATGTGCACGTGAAATTGTGGAGTAGCACTGCATTGTGTCCAAAGGAGAAACTTATTTCTACTTTGGGGACAAATGGGCCCTTGTTGCTAGTATAGTCCTTGTGGCATAGCTTATGGAATTGCTTTCCGACACTTGGAACCAGCAGAGTTGAGTTTAGAGTGGGGTCATATCCTTAATATTACAGCTTAGTGTTTGGAGTGGATCTGTTGAGTGATTGAATCTATGGCAGTTATTTGAATTTGATATGACAGGGTGACGTTTCCATGAAAAAATTGGTTCATAGGTAGCTTGAAGTGGATAAAACTATGAAGAATTCAAAATACAAGATTTGATGGTGATTGAGTTTTAGGTAGCTTGAAAACGACAATGTATTGATTCAAAAGAGTTTTGAGTTCAGAGCTTATAATCCTAGGGATGTGTCTCCTAAGAATCAATTCCAGGCTGGTTTATGAAATGTGTTCCCCATAGGTTTCTGAGCCAGGTTCATGATTAAATATTAGGTGCATATTCCCTGAACCCCAGCCTTTTCCCCCCTGCCTCACATTGCCTACATCCATTATTTATAGCGGAATGGGCAGGGCAAGGGGAACTACTGAATTGTTCTTCCCACAGGTATCCTGGTCCCATGGGAATGATGGTCCAGCAGTGCCGGGGTAGATGGTGATGGCCCATATTCCTGTTGGTTCCAAATAGATGTGGTGTGATGGTCTTTTCCAATAGAATTGGGATAAGCCTGTTCAGAGTTATTTTGTACTTGGGAGAGTTTACAGGTAGTAGGAAGGCCTCAAATTCTTTTGGGACAGTCCTTGAATGTCCTTAGGACCTGAGAAAAAGACTTTGTCTGCTTACTGAGTTAAAAATGGTTCTCTGTTTCTTCACTTCAGGCCCTTAACTAATATTGCATCCTTTCTGCAGTTGTGCATTTTGGAACAGTTTTGCTCAATAGAATGTTTGAGATCTGTGAGTCAAGTTCTTTCTGTAGTTGAATTTGAATTGATTGTTCTTTGCATCTCTATTTCTTGTGCTTCTAGTTGGTGATTACTGAGCTGGAGGCTATAGAACCGATACTTTGGGGTAGTTCCTTTGTAATTATGTGGTCTTTTTATAATTTTCACTAATTGTTCCTAATAGTTCTCATCACACGGAAATATTTCTCTTTGTTCCTTTCAGGAGTACTTTGAGCATTTTTTTTTTCCTGTTCTGCCTTCATTCCATAATTATATGCCTTGTGAATTTTTTTCAAAGGGGTTTATTCTGTTCCATCCTTAACCCAAATAAAACCTTAGTAGAGTTATAAGTTCAATCATCCACTGATAATCATAAAATTACATTCCAGAAGTCTTGATTCCTAGGTGGTTGGTGTGTTTCATGATTTTTCTAAAGGGTGGTTGTGTTAAGAGAATATTATTTATCTGAGAAAAGAAAATCATGCTGTATTTGAAAAACAGCAAAAAATAGTGTGTACCGGGAAAGAGGTGGTGGTCTTCATCATGTATACAAAAACCACATGCTGTGGGCAGTGACATCTTTATTCCTGGATGGCTGGTAGCACTGTGGAAGGATGGACAGATGGATAGAGCTCTGGTGTAAGAGTTTCAAGTCCTTCTATGTGTTTCATGGATGCTATGTAATACTGTCTTTTTCTTCATCTCCTCAGTGCTTCCAAGATTTCTTTTGAGATTGAAAAAGAAATAAATATGTAGATCCTTGAACCTCTTGAAAGAAAAGTCCTGTCCAACTTAATTATAGTAAACCTCCCCTCTTATTAACAGTGCAGTGGTAAAGTTGAAATTAGAACCCAGATTTCCTTTTTTTAAATATATTTCTTTATTGATTTCAGAGAGGAAGGGAGAAGGAGAGAGAGAGATAGAGGTATCAATGATGAGAGAGAATCATTGATCGGCTGCCTCCTGCACACCCCCCACTGGGGATTGAGCCTGCAACCCAGGCATGTGCCCTTGGCCGGAATCGAACCTGGGACCCCTCAGTCCGTAGGCTGATGCTCTATCCACTGAGCCAAGCCGGCCGGGGCAGAACCCAGATTTTCAATCTGCCAATATACTTCTCCCCACTTATTGTGTTTTTCCTTCTTTCCTGCTCTTTGGGACTATACTAGAAGTTTTCTCAGTCTAGGGCCGTGGTCGGCAAACTACGGCTCATGAGCCACATGCGGCTCTTTGGCTCCTTGAGTGTGGCTCTTCCACAAAATACCACGTGCGGGTGCGCGTACAGTGCGATTGAAACCTCATGGCCCATGCGCTGAAGTCGGTTTTCGGCCTGGGCGAGTCTATTTTGAAGAAGTACTGTTGATATTTGGCTCTGTTGACTAATGAGTTTGCCGACCACTGGTCTAGGGTAAACCAGTGCTGTTTTAGTATAATGGCACAGTCATCAAAACTGGTGCTCTGTAGAGATGAGATTTCCTCATATCATTGGCTTTCTTAAGGTTTCAGACTGTTAATGCATGCCTGCTTGGATGTCAGGATAGTTTGCTAAGAGTTTCACGCCAGAAAGAGTTAAGAGGATAAGTGGTAAAGTAAACAGGTATTTGAGTGATCTTGTCCCAGGGGTACCCTGTTGCACAACTCTGGGGGCACCATTTTTATGTATTTCTGGCATGAGCCTTCTTGATTCTCCATTTGGTCTTATTTCAGGGATACAGAGTTTTAAGTTAGCCTTTTCAGAACAGCATTATAGCATTTATCAGGTGTCATTATACAGGCAAGTATTGCTTCTAGTTGGCCTAGCAGTACTCTCCATGAACCCACATTTTGGCCTGACATTTTTATCAGAAGTCCACAGAGCACATTTATCATTTTGTTCTAGGACCAGCTGTGGTTCTGATCTTCAGCTTTTTTCTCTTAGGAACCAAAGCAGAGTGATAGATTGGGTATCCATGGAAGTGGGGGGGCCCCTCTGGACAGCCTGGCCTTTTTACTCAGACTCCATGATTCTAAAATCAGTTATTGTGGCTAAGTAAGTTTTCACAGGATGTGGACAGAGACTATCATCTTTAATTGCTGTCATCAGAACTTCATTTTTTAAAACATTAATGAGAACTACCTGAAAAATGCATAGCCATTCCTGCCAGTATTCTAAATTTTATTTCGTGAATCAAATCACAGTGTCAGAGTATGTCCTTCAGTTGTATGGTTTTGAACTCCTTTCCTTAACTTGCTCTGTTATTTATTGTTAGCCTCCAGTTTCCTTGTTTGAAAAATGGGATTACAGTACCCTACTTATAGAATTGTTAAATGATGTGAAGTTGTGAAGCGCTTAGAACAGTATCTTGAACACACTAAACACTTAATAGATGTCAGTGGTGATGGTGGTGGTAATATTGTCCACCATATCACTTTGTATGCCCCCTAGTTCCCTCAGAAACTGCTTCACCTGAGTCACTTGTAAGACAATATGAATAGATACAATCTTTTGGGGGAAGGAGAGGCCTTGTCACAGGCATCCTTTCTGAGGACATTCATATTTTCAGGCTCTCAGTTCCTCCTTCCTAAATTTTCACGTCCGTAATGTGTTTACTTCCTTGACTCTTTAGAGGGATATTATATATTAGACCCTTCTTTCTTTTACTCTCCAGCCTAATTCTCTACTACATTTCTTTTTATTTTTTATTTTTTTTTTATATATTTTATTGATTTTTCACAGAGAGGAAGGGAGAGAGATAGAGAGAGTTAGAAACATCGATGAGAAAGAAACATTGATCAGCCGCCTCCTGCACATCCCCCACCGGGGATGTGCCCGCAACCCAGGCACATGCCCTTGACCGGAATCGAACCCGGGACCTCTCAGTCCGCAGGCTGACGCTCTATCCACTGAGCCAAACCGGTTTCGACTCTACTACATTTCTTTTATACATTACCACTCTTGCTGTTTCATTTCTCTCAGCTGGAATATTAGACAAAGTGGGGTTGTGAGTTAAGATTTGAACCCCTTGCAATGTTTTCAAAATCTGAATGTCTGGAGTCCACTGTCATTCAGTTGATTAAATATGGAGTTTCTTCCTGGGGGATGAGTCCTGTGTTAGAGACTCTGGGGAGGTCCAAGATGTGATCCCTGCCTCCTGGGAAGGTTGGCAAGACTGGATCCCCCTAAACCAGTGATGGCGAACCTCTTGAGCTCGGTGTGTCAGCATTTTGAAAAACCCTAACTTAACTCTGGTGCCGTGTCACATATAGAAATTTTTTGATATTTGCAACCATAGTAAAACAAAGATGTATAATTTTGATATTTATTTTATATATTTAAATGCCATTTAACAAAGAAAAATCAACCAAAAAATGAGTTCGCGTGTCACCTCTGACACGCGTGTCATAGGTTTGCCATCACTGCCCTAAACTGTAATTTGATTGTTTCTTGATTTATCTTGCCTGAGGAGGACCTGAGGCCCCTAATACCGGGAGGAAAGGCTCAGCACTTGTTTCGGAGACTGTCTGACTTTATTGTATTTTATAACTCAGGGAGCAGGATTTACCTGCAATCAGTCCTCAGTCATTTAATATTGAGCTTTATTTGTGTGAAGCTGTCGTCACAGATTTGGTGCATTGCCTCTCTCCCTTGCTACTATTTAGGAAAAAGTAGGCTGAAATTCAATTCTTCTTCCCTTTATAGGACTTATGAAAATTGAGGGTGCTGTTTAGTAGAGCAAAAAATGTGATGAGACTTCTGGAGAAAGATAAGGAACAGGGTTACTTTTAGAGAGAGATCCTTTATATCTCACTTCTTTTGTTGAAGATCTTCCCTAGTTTCCTTAGTCACTACTTGAAACCAAGTTTCTGTGCGCAGTCTACCCTCCAGGTTTTAGTATCTTTGGTATCTGCTGCCAGCATTTCCTCTGCAGGACCTGTAGTTGTAGGTCACAGGTCCTTTCCCACCTGAAGCTTGGCTGCTCTTGGCTCAGAGTGATCATGTTTATTTCCTGCTGTTACTTGTTTCCACATTCTACCAGTCTCACTCTCCCTCTTTACCTGCTTTCTCCTGGGCTGGATCTTTCCTGGTCCAGAATTTTGGGAAGCTACTCTTGACCAACATACTGTCATTAAGCCTTTCTAGAAGTGGTCAGAATGTAAAAATGAGTGAGTGGTGCGATGCCTCGGTTCTGTACTCATCGGTGACTTGCAATGTGATTCTGAGGGATTTATTTTCTTGATTATTCTTCACTCCCAGAGTTTTAAGCTTAATTATCATCTCTTTACAGAGAAGAACTCAAGTTCTGAAGTTCAAACTCTTAGAAACCTAGAGTTTGAGAACTACAGAGCAGGAGCTTTGTATATGTGTTCTGGCCAACTGTTGTCCCTATTCTGAATCCGTTTAAGTGGAAATTGGGATGCTGCTGCTACTGCTGGTGCTAGAACCCTTTTTAAACTGGTAACTCCTAGGGTTCTCACTGCTCAGCCCCACATGTGTGGTGTCCAGTGTAGCACCATGGATGTTCTTAGACCTTGGGATCAGTGCAGTGTGGTGCCCAGGTATCATATGGTACACAAAAAATACCTTAATTTTGATTCCTGCCAATTTCATTCTTTAATTCCCTTGGGCATTTTGTGTTCTGGCCTAGAACCTTTTCAAGCTGCATGGAACTATAGATGTGTCGCTTGAAACTCTGAAATTTTTTATTTCAAGGAAGGAGAATTTAAGGAATAAAGGAAAAGAGGAACAGTGATAGGTATCCTGCTGTTTGAAGCTAGTCAGTAGTTTACTTTGTGGGACTTTGGGCACATCCCTTCCCCTCTCATGACTTCAGTTTCTTTCTTTCTTTCTTTCTTTCTTTCTTTCTTTCTTTCTTCCTTCCTTCCTTCCTTCCTTCCTTCCTTCCTTCCTTCCTTCCTTCCTTCCTTCCTTCCTTCCTTCCTTCCTTCCTTCCTTCCTTCCTTTCTTTCTTTCTTTCTTTCTTTCTTTCTTTCTTTCTTTCTTTTCTCTTCTTTTCTCTTCTCTTCTTTTCTCTTCTTTTCTCTTCTTTTCTCTTCTTCTCTTCTCTTCTTTCTCTCTCTCTCTCTCTCTCTCTTCTTTCTCTCTCTCTCTCTCTCTCTCTCTCTCTCTCTCTCTCTCTCTCTCTCTTTCATTCATTCAAGGAAAGTAATACCAATTCTATTTCTTGGGATATGGGAAACATTCTGTGGGTAACTGAATATGTATAAGTTCTTTCACCAGCATCTTATCTAGGATAGCCTCTGTTGGATAGGAATATAGTGCTGAGTGGTTCTGACTAATGGGACTAATATAATATGCTAGATCCTAAGGTCTTGACCACTAATTCCCAGCCATGTTGTCAGAGGAGAAATCAAGAACTCCTCATCTCCACTTCTCCATTGCTAAGCTTCAGATTTATTCCTGAGTGTGATGTGGTCTCTCTTTCTTCAGGTAGAATGGAAGAATCTCACTTCAATTCTAACCCATACTTCTGGCCTTCTATCCCCACGGTCTCAGGACAGGTAGGTGGAGTTCGCTTTTTTGCCCCTCCCCCATGGTGTCCTTTTTTCAACTCAACTCTGAATAGTAAGTTCTACTTGCTCCTCAGAGACTGAAGCAGGTGGAGACTGAAGCAAGACAAACCACCTGCTTTTTCATCAGGTCCCCATCACTGAGAATTGTATAGTGTTCCTGTTTGGCTTCTCTCTGGAAACACAAAGATATTAACTATCATTCCTTGATATCCAAGGAGGTCAGACAATGCTAAGTGCTTGGGGAGCAGACATAATCAGACTCTTCCTTAAGAGGCCACTTCCCTCCCCTCCCCTCCTATTTATTTATTTATTTATTTATTTATTTATTTATAATAGTTGACATATATTAGTTTCAGGTGTACATCATTGTGATTAGACATGTATATAATTTACAAAGTGACCCCCTACTCCCCATAAGTTTAGTACTCATCTGGCACCATTCATAAATTATTTTATCCTATTATTGACTATATTCCCTATGCTGTACTTTATATTCCTGTAGCTATTTTTATTACTGGCAGTTTGTACTTCCTAGTGCTCTTCACCTTTTTTTTGCTCATTTCCCTACCCCTTCCCATCTAGTGACCAGTTTGTGTTCTTCCCCTTCCATTTCTTTCAGATTGAGAACACGATGTTCATCAACAAGATGAAGGATCAACTGTTGCCAGAGAAGGGCTGTGGGCTGGCTCCACCCCACTACCCCACCTTGTTGACAGTGCCTGCCTCAGTGTCCCTGCCCTCAGGCATCAGTATGGACACAGAGTCCAAGTCAGACCAGCTGACCCCACATAGCCAGGCATCCGTTACCCAGAATATCACGGTGGTCCCTGTGCCGTCTACAGGATTAATGACTGCTGGTGAGCAACTCTGCTCTTCTCCAATCTGAGGTGTTGATCTTCCATGATCAGTACCCCAGGCTGGAGGGCTCCAACAACATGGGGAGTGGGAAATGTGTTTGATTACTCAATCAAATTTTTATTAAGAGCCTACTGTGTGCCTAGCAATGCTCTAGGCATTGTGGGGGATACAAAGAAGTAGAAGATGCGGTCCCTGCCTTTGAGGAGGTGACATTCTTTCCTTCTCTGAATCAAGGAGTCTCCTGTTCTCAGAGGTGGAGAAGAGAAGGGAGTCAATCAAGGGGTAAATCTCACTGTTACTGGGGTTGGGGTGGGGACAGGGGTTAGGAGACCATTATTTTTCTACAGGGTTTGGGGTTTCCTATATACTCTGGGCTGGGGAGGTGGTAAGGGTTTAGTTAGACAATGATCTGGGGAAATGAAATAGGATTAGGATCAGAATTGGACAACATGACACCATCTCCTTTTTCTCCCAATCCTAGGTCCTGGTTTGGTAATCACGTCCCCCTCAGGCTCCCTTGTGACCACAGCCTCATCAGCTCAGACCTTCCCCATTTCGGCTCCCATGATTGTCTCAGCTCTTCCCCCTGGCTCACAAGCCCTGCAGGTGGTCCCTGACCTCTCCAAGAAGGTATCATCAACCCTAACAGAGGAAGGAGGCGGAGGTGGTGGTGGAGGTGGCAGTGTGGCTCCAAAGCCCCACCGGGGCCGAAAGAAGAAGCGGATGTTGGAATCAGGGTTGCCCGAGATGAACGACCCTTATGTCCTCTCCCCTGAGGATGATGATGACCATCAGAAAGACGGCAAGACCTATAGGTATGAGTCATCCTGGGGCAGGATGGGGTGTGAGGATCCCTGTCTCAGCTTCCCTACCCTATCTGTGTCTTGCCCCTAATCAGGCTGTATGCTCTGCCAGCTTTCCACCTCAGATCCACATGCATGTCAGGCATTTTGCCACGGGGCAGGAAGGTAGAGCTTCTAGCACTTCTCTGGTGCCTTTTCCCCCAGGATGGAGACCCTTTGGGGTCATCAGCATTGAGTTATTTTTGAGTGCCATAATGGAGGTTTTTCTTGTATTGAGGCTTTAGACTGGGTTTGAGATTCTATCTCCAGCTCCTTTTTGCTTTCTCCATTTTCCATTCCCATTTTTCCAAGAAACCTTTCTGGTAAGCCCCTTACCAGTATGCCATCCACTGGTTCTTGAGTCATATTTGGGCATTGAGCCAGCCTGACCCTGCATGGTTGGGATAATGGGAGGGTCTATATAAAATGGTGGGAGGAATAAGATGCCTCCCTTCCCCTACTTATGCTTATAAAATGACTGCTTACTCTCTGATTCATGGAAGTCATTTTGATTCTTTACTGCCTTTAAGTTGTCCATGGCCAAAAAAGCATTATATTTGCATGTGATACCGTACAAAAATAATTACATAAGTAAACTTCCCTGCCCTTTGAACATTGGAAATCTTTTAATTCCCTTCAGACCTATCAAGGGCCCTAGTGGGTTTGGGGAGTTTGGTCCCAGTGTATAGAGTAGGATAACCACTGCCACAGCTTTGACGCAGACAGGGGCAGAGATGCATGGCTGGGAGACTGGGTCTGTCCTTAGTGTACCGAGATGGGCAATGTTGTTCCCATTTTAGGAGCGAAGGGAACTGCGGCACAGGAAATGGACAGAGCCTTGGGCTAATGGATTCAGTTCCCGGCTCCACCACGAACTTGCTGTGTGACCCTGGGCAAGTCCTTTTCCCCTCTCTGGGCCTCAGTTTCCTCATCTATAAAATGGGGAGAATTCTGTTTTTGCCTCCCATTTGTTGGGAGTATATATCAGATAAGATTTGAAATGTTGGGAACTTCAAAAGAGATAAAAGTAGTTAGCATTTATTATTGTGTTGTACACTTTTGTAGAGAGCAGCTACGACTACAGAGAATTTAAATCCCTCTTTGTAAGTGAAAATGAGGGGAGTGTTGCTATGCAGAAAGTGTAGAGCACTACAGAAATCAGTTTATAATCTGAAAGTTCATTGCAGCTTTATTATTACAGGTATATCCCACTTTATACAATAAAAGTGTTCCTGGAAAATGTTTACATCATATCATATTATAAAGGTACCTGATAAGTTTGATTAATTTAAAGGCATTATTTTATATATCATTTCATAAAATGAAAATCCCTCTTAAATACATTTTGTAGAAATCTGGATTTTTATGTATTTGCTTAAAGTGAGGTCATTGTGACATGGACGTTCACCTATACAAAATTTGCTGTGTTAGAAGTAGTGGGGGGAGGGCGTGTTCTCTGGCACCCTATGGAACCCTACACATGGATCAGGGTCCTCTGATTCTGCTAAGGTTTTCTTGTTTGTTAGTTTTTTGGACCCACATTAAAGCTATCTCTGGACTTCCCAAATTGTTTATATGGAAAGAAATGTGAATACACAATTGGAAGGAAGCCCTGGTGGGATTTTCTACACCCTCCATGTTTTTGGAATTCTTGCTGGCCCTATGCCTAGGTGACGAAAGAGAACTCTGAAATTTAAGGGTGACTAATTATATTCTAGGTGGACAGGATTTCTTCAGAAACTCAGAACTCTGAAGTTCCAATGGTGGAATCTTTGTAATCACAAAGAATCCCTCTTTCAATGCATATATGGGTCAATCACATCCATTCCCGTGGCAAGTGGCATTTGACTGTATTGGGGGAATTGGGTTCTGTTGCTCTGGACAAGTAAACTTATTTCTGACTAAAGAGTTCCTATCTGTAAAATGGAAGGTCAATCATGGCCCTCATCTGTCTTGTGGAACTGTTTTAAGGGAAAATCAGAGTATATGAAACTGTTTTTGAGCATATTAGGGGAAAAAATGGAATGATAATTCAGAATAGTTATTGTAAGCAAGGCCATTGCATTTCATGCCTCCAAAGGGGCACCTTTCTCTTGTTGAATATGAATGGTGCCCACTGCCACAACTCTCCTAAATCAGATTTCTTTTCGACTACCTGACACTTTGCATTAAAGGACTTGTACTCTTACTTGGCTTCATAAGATTTCAGAGTTGGAAATACTTTAATGGTCACCTAAGCTGTCTCGTCCCTAAGATTTAGTTCTCTAAACATTCCTGGAAGGTGACTGTCCAACCTTTCCTTAAATACCTCTAGTGTGAGGAATCTTTAAATTAGGCTGAAATCATAGCTTTATAGTAAATAACTGTCCTTTGGCACATTACTTAACCTTTCTGAACCTTTGTGTTCTTTTCTATAAAACAGAGATAATACTTGCTAGCTTGTTGTGAGGGGTGGAAACAAAGTTCCCTGGCAATATCAGGCACAACAACAAATGGCAAACTATTATTATCATCATCATTATTATACCTAGTACCTTTTGAGACTGCTGGTTATGTTGCCAGTCCATTATCCATTAATTTAAGTTTTGTGGATTCTTGTCTAGTTGAAAACTTTGATGAAGGTTATTTCTTCTTTTATAATTAGTTTCATATTAAGGAAGTAAACAGCATTCATAAATACTAGCTAAATGAGTTAAAATGAATGTGTTGTTCCATTTATAAGAAGTTTTAGCAACCAAGGGAAATTATTTTATAACTTTAGTACAGTTCCCCTCCCAAGTGGCAATGTGACCAGTTTCTAACCTCAGTCTTAGTGAAACTATAGTAGCATGAATGCAACCATCACACTGGTGCTGTTAACATTAATGCAGTTTTATTATTTTAAAAGATATTTTTATTGATTTTTAACGAGGAAGGGAGGAGGAGAGAAACATTGATGATATAAGAGTGAAACATCAATCGGCTACCTTCTGCACGCCCCCTGCTGGGGATGGAGCCCGAACCCGGGCTTGTGCCCTGACTGGGAATCCAACCGGCAACCTTTTGGTGCACTGGATGACACCCAACTAACCGATCCATACCAGACAGCGCAATGCAGTTTTATTTTTAGAGAACACTGGCTTACTTTTGACTGTCCTGTTTGCTGGCTCTTGTAGGGGCAGATATTTAATTTATCTCTCTATTTACAGATCAGAAAAGTAAGGTCTGTATTGATGAGCAATCCCATAACTGAACCCTGAGTAGAGAGCCTAGGTGTCCAGATTTCCTGTTGGCTGTCTTCCATTGGCTGTGTCCATTAGACTGTGCTTCCTATAAGCAGAACCTCCCCATCTCTACAATGGTTGGGCATCCCAGACAATACCCTGCTAACAGTGATGTCTTTTTCTCTGAGGAGCTCAGAGTTCTTTGTAGCCTTGATCTCACTTATTCTCCAGAGATTCTCCTAGAATCAGGAAAAAGTAGAAATCATCCCTCACACCATCCTAAGCCCTTCTTACCGTGATAAATTGGGAGGACCCAAGGAAGAGGGATTTGTCCCAGTTACCTGGCTTCTAGGCTGTTGCCCTTTCTACCAGTCCACATTGTATACTGGTGACTTGTTTAGGAATGTTAGGGTTCTAGCTCACATATAAATAGCTTTTACCCAATAAAGTTTGAATAGTTGTGGTTTCTTACTTGGTATTGTTGGACAGTGTCAGAGCAGGAAGATTACCAGCTCAGGGGATGAATAAAAGTGTATTCAGATTCTATTAATGTCAACCCAAAGTGCTAATGTTGGCTTCATGTGTGAGGAAAGAGGAAAGGTTTAGCATGGAAGCTTGGTGTTTTGCAAATCTTTTTCTCCTATATATTTGAGGGACACAACCCACTCCTAACAGATACCATGGCTCATTGCAAAAGTGGTTTTCACTTGATTTTCTAGGGGGTGGGGGTGATTGGCTGGTAGAACATCAGATACAGGATGGAGGCCAGATAAACATGGGCTGGAAAGGCCCCTCCAAGTACTGAAATTCTGATACTTCCCCCAGCCCCATCCCTCTAAAAGTCCTGGCAAAAAGGAAATAGGAGAAAATCTGAGAGAAGGCAATTATCTGAAGAAGATGGGAAAGGAGACCTGGGTCATCTAGTCAGTTTGTCCTCATCATTTCAGAAGCTTGAGGAATACCTGATGGATGTACTTTTTACATGGGAAATTAAAGGAAAGAGTTCTTTTAAAATTTTGAAATTAAAATTATAGGCAGAAGGAAAACAGAAGTTAGCTGATGATCCTAGCCCAGTGAAATTTACATCAGCCAAAGCCCATAATAAGATTTTCCTGTCTTCCTTGGTTGAATTCTTGTTTTTGTACACACTTGGGAATCCAATTATTCAGCAAATATGTATTGAGTATATTGTACTGGGCTGTGTTAGAAGCTTCAACTATAAAAATAAATAAAACAGAGCTCCTCCTCTCATGGACCTTACAAGGTAGTTGGAATAAGAGAGAGATCAGAAAGGTTGGCTTCTTTGGAAGTGGAGGGGAGGGTTCAGCAATGCCCTCTTGGTGGGAAAGGTTCTAACGGCTGCCCTCACTTGGCCCAGGTGCCGGATGTGCTCACTGACATTCTACTCAAAGTCGGAGATGCAGATCCACTCCAAGTCACACACCGAGACCAAGCCCCACAAGTGCCCACATTGTTCCAAGACCTTCGCCAACAGCTCCTACCTGGCCCAGCACATCCGTATCCACTCAGGGGCTAAGCCCTACAGTTGTAACTTCTGTGAGAAATCCTTCCGCCAGCTATCTCACCTCCAGCAGCACACCCGGTAAGGCTGCTCTTGATTTTACCCCACTACCTGGCCTTGAACCGCCCCACCCTGAGACGATGTTGCCTGCGCCTATTGTTCTCTCCATAGGTTTCCTTTTTTCCTTTTTAATTTTGCCCTTTGGGAGCCTCAATTCTCTCCCATTACTGTTTGTGAAAATTAAACTGTGTCTTAGGAGTTTGGCGTGGGGGGCCTGGAAAATTGTGGTCTTCAATCCCAAAGTCTGGATCAATTTTTGTGGTTTCTCTCTGTGTCTGTGTTTGGAAATCTTCTGCAGAGCAGGCCCTGCATTTACTATATGCTTCAGTTCAGAGCCAAGGTGTGCATTCAACTTCAGGTCCATGGGGAACAGGCGGTATTGGTCTTTGTTCAAATTACAGTTTGGAAGCAGGGTATCTGTGGTGAGTGTGTAACCTTAGAACCAAACGGAGGGTTGACGAAACTGAAATCTTTAAGGTTAACAGGAGCCAGGGGTTGCAGCTCTTCATCATCTCACTGCCATTCTAGCTACCGACGTAAGATCAGCAACAACCTAGATCTTGGTGTCCTCGTCATTAGCCTCTACAGGCCGGAGTGTGTTTGGGAGGAGGGAGGAGGGGGTGTTCTCATCCCTCAAGCAACATCATTTCACCCAGCAGAGAGCTGAGCCCGTGGTGTCGAACTGCTTCCTCCTCCCCCCTTCCTTCCTCTCCTCTCCGGCAGGATCCACTCTAAGATGCACACGGAGACCATCAAGCCCCACAAGTGCCCGCACTGCTCCAAGAGCTTCGCCAACACCTCCTACCTGGCTCAGCACCTCCGTATCCACTCGGGGGCCAAGCCCTACAACTGTTCCTACTGCCAGAAGGCCTTCCGCCAGCTCTCCCACCTCCAGCAGCACACACGGTAAGGGAGAGTGGCGGGCTACTGCCCCCGCCCTGCTGGCATGCCCTCCCCACCCCCGCCCCGGACACACACAACAACCCGCATGCGGGGGGCGGGGGAGAAACCTGGCTGGAGGAGAGACCTGGCTGGAGGAGAACATGACTGGCATCTGGGAAAAAGAACAAGCAGCAACATGGAGAAACAAGTGGATGCTCAGAGAGAGCCTTTCTGAGGCAAAAGCTACATTGGGGAGATGCAGTGACTGATATTCCCGGATGCATGGGAGGAAGAGATTGATCTGGAGCAGAGACAACTTTATTTTCCTCATTTCCTTCCTTGAAAATACCCATGCACACATCTTGCAAGGTTTTCTCCTTGATGCCAAAGCTGGGGAATTTGAAGATGTTACCTCTAGTCCTTAGAGCACTGCTTATGAATGGGAGATACAGACTTTAGCTGGGTACCAGCCTGGTGACAAAGCAACAAGCAAGCTCCAAGGGATGCCCGGAGTAGAGAACAAAACCAAACATGTCTTAAATCTTAAAGAGCCAGCAAACAATGAAAAAGCTCATACTTCATAAGGATGCCTACTGTTTGTCCCATGAATCTGGAGTGACTAGGAGGAAGTGACCCTGCCAACTAGAATTGGTGTTCTTTAATGTATCTCACGTCGAAGTGGAATCGAGACTCTTAATAGACACCTGGCTGCTTCTGGATGTGGTGATCTTAGAGTGGTCAGACATCGTGCTTTGTGAAGAGGAGTCGGGCTTTCCTCACAAGGAGACATATCCTGTGATATTTTGAAGAGTTTCTACCAGAGGTCCAGAAAACCACCTGGTCACAAAGATGGTTCTGCAGTCCCTAATGAGGAGCAGATGTTCATGCACCTTCAAGTCCTTGGCTCATTTCAGTGGAGGACCCTGTAGAGATTGGGAAAGAGGTCAAATTGATACTAAACTAGACATTTCTTGCCATTAGGGGGCTGTACTGGGAAAAGCCTGAAGGAGTTTGTACAAGTATTCATATCACTTATACTTTCCACAATTATCATAACTCTGTATTTTTCTTTGACACTAGATCTTTCTCTGGGAGTGGTGCTTGAGGTTGAAGAGATAGTTTCTAGTTGGGTAGTGGGGGCCAAGGAAAAAGTGTTACGTGTTTCTTTTTCCCCTACCATTGTGTTGACCTTATGTTTCTAAGCATTCATCAGAGAGTTACTGTAGGAGCTTTCTTGTATACCAGATTGTGAGCTGCCTGTCCCTAGGCTGCCGTGTCACCCGTCCCTCCTCCCCCCGCAGAGAGGAGCCTATCTTTTTTTTTTTTTTTTTTTATTGATTTTTTACAGAGAGGAAGGGAGAGGGATAGAGAGTTAGAAACATCGATGAGAGAGAAACATCGATCAGCTGCCTCCTGCACACTCCCCACTGGGGATGTGCCCGCAACCAAGGTACATGCCCTTGACTGGAATCGAACCTGGGACCCTTGAGTCCGCAGGCCGATGCTCTATCCACTGAGGTGGAGCCCATCTTGAGCTGAGTGATGCAGGCAGTGAGCAGAAATCAGGCACTACAGCGTGTCAGAGAGCAGCTGAGGCATCCTGGAGATCCATCTCATACTACTCCCACTCCTGTGGGAGGGCAGGCGTGGCCTTGAGGAGGCTTGTTAAGGAGCCAGTCCCCAAGTGGCCTTGCTGACATCCTTCCCCTTTCTTGTTTTCTCATCCCATGCAGAATCCACACCGGGGATAGACCATACAAATGTGTCCACCCAGGCTGTGAGAAAGCCTTCACACAGCTCTCCAATCTGCAGGTAAACTTTCCTCCTTCCACATGAGGCCTTGACTTTAATACGTGGGGTGGAAGTGCCATTTGACTAATATAGCAGTTCTCAAATGTTTTCAGGGCCCCTTCACACTTGTAGTAATTATTGGGGAATCCAAAGAGCTTTTGTTGATGTGGGTAATATCTGTCTACGTAGATATTGTGAAACTGAAAAACTGGAGAAGATATTTAGTAATTCATTTAAAAAATAGCAAACCCATTGCAAAACACAAATAACATTTCCAAACACACACCCCCCAAAAAAATTTAGTGAGAAGAATGATATTGTTTTACATTTTTTTCACATTTCTTTAATGTATGGCTTACCAGAAGATGGCTAGATTCTCGTGTCTGCTGTATTCAATCTATTGCAATATTATGCATCATTTAATCTCATACAGTCATGAGAGAATGAAAAGGCCAAAATTATTATTACTATTTTGAAAATAGTTTTGACCTTATAGATAGACCCCCTAAAAAGGTCTTGGTATTCCCTAACAAACCCCATACCTCACTTTGAGAACCACTGGACTAGTGGGACCAGGCATAGTCATCATTCTAACTTTCAGGATCCTGGTCTGTGCTGCCTGAGGTATGCTGCTTCCCTTAGCCTGTGGCTCCTGAAGTTTCATTTGAAGCAATTCCTACTGCCTTCAGAAGGAAAGAGAACCTGGGAGACAAGAGGGAAAAGTCCAATACACTCATCATTTCTACCAATTTTCTCAGTCCCACAGACGGCAGCACAACAAAGATAAACCCTTCAAGTGCCACAACTGTCATCGGGCGTACACAGACGCAGCCTCACTAGAGGTGCACCTATCTACGCATACAGTGAAGCATGCCAAGGTGTACACCTGTACTATCTGTAGTCGGGCATATACGTCGGTGAGTGCTCAGTGTCTTCTCTTTCCTTTCTCATAGGCCTGTAGACTATAATCCACTTCACCTCATCTTTCTGGATAAAAACCCATTGCAGTGAATCTGCAGCTTCCCTAGCTCCAACTCACAGAATCAGACAGAACAAAAATTAAACAGACCCATAGCTGAAGAATTTAGGGGACGCCTGATTTCTTAAGCCTATAGAGATCATTAAGCAATGATTCTTCATTTTACTTGAACATAAGGCAAAGTAAAGCAACTTGAGAATTTGGGAAGAGAAAGATTTCAGTTAGATGTTTCCATTAGACTCCAGAAAAGGGTTTTAAAGTTATTCCATTCAAAGATCTTTGAGAAAAATGACAGCCTTTTCCTGTGCCAATTGAATGTCCATGGTGACTCTAAAGCAGCAGTCGCCAACCTTTCGGACCTCATGGACCACCAGTGGTCCGGGGACCACCAGTTGGCAACCGCTGGTCTAGAGGACACCCCCCCCCCCCGCCGCCTTTTTAGCCAGTAGTGAGCCCTGAAAGTGGCTCGTGGGGTGAACTTGCCCATGGCTTCAGAATATATCTGAGTGTAAGTCCTGCTCTATTTAAAGTTAAGTAAGAGCCCAGGATGCTAGTTATAAGTAACCTCTTTCCTTCTTTTTCCCCCCCTCAACTCTTTTTTACCATCTCTCCCAGGAAACGTACCTTATGAAACATATGCGCAAACACAACCCTCCTGATCTCCAGCAACAAGTGCAGGCAGCGGCAGCAGCGGCAGCAGTGGCCCAGGCCCAGGCCCAGGCCCAGGCTCAAGCCCAAGCCCAAGCCCAAGCCCAGGCTCAAGCCCAAGCCCAAGCCCAAGCCCAGGCTTCCCAGGCATCGCAACAGCAGCAGCAGCAGCAGCAACCACAGCCACCACACTTCCAGTCCCCGGGGCAGCCCCCCAGGGTGGGGGTGGTGGGGACAGCAACCCCAACCCTCCACCCCAGTGTTCTTTTGACCTGACCCCCTATAAGACGGCGGAGCATCATAAGGACATCTGCCTCACTGTCACCACCAGCACCATCCAGGTGGAGCACCTGGCCAGCTCATAGAGACCTATGCTGCCACCCCACTGGGAAAAGGGAGAAGAAGTTCTGGTCTCTTCTTTCTCTAACTCCTCTTGGTGGGAAACGTCTTCTTCCTTGACAGGCCTTGGCTCCATCTCCTTGGGCCTCAGGCACAGCCTTCCTTCACATGATACCATCCTTATTTTCAACTCTTCAAAAGGATTATCAGCCCTCCTGATTGGCAAAGGAATACTGAGCTGGTAGTGTAATCCAGCAGCCTCCCTCCTAAGCATAGCTTTTAAAAATTGGGAGTTGGTGCTCAAGGGGGGGATTTGCTATGACCTCATAGAAACGTTTCCATTGTGGGCACTTACTCTCTCCTTACCCTCATAATCTTCAAAGTTTAGGCTGATAGAAGACTAGAGGCTGGCCCTCCCAGATACCAGAGAGAAGAAAGCCCTAAATGTAACCAGCCTCCTGTTCCAATCTTGCCTGTGTAAGAACAGAGGTTTCTCATGTGCCCTGACCCTGGGAGCCATTTCCCCTCATGGTCTCACTTCAGTTCCTACCTGATGCTGGAGGAAGGAGATCTGGGTGGGGGTCAGACTCCCTTTACTTGTAAAGGGCATGAGCCTAGATGTGGTCCCCACGGGGCCAGTGATCCCCAGATGGTCGAGGGTGGCTTAGAAACGTGGGATATGGTCTTCCTTGGAGCCTCTCCCCTTCTCTGCCAACCAAGGCCCTATACTCAGCCTCCCCATCCCCAAACTTAAGGAGCTGTGGGAGCTTTATGAAATCCCAAACAAAGGAGTGTTGCACAGAAGGGAAAGTTCAGGGCAAACACAAGGACTGGACTTAGCTTCCTAGGTGCCACGGTCAGTTGCTGGACACGGATTTATATATAAATATATATATATATATATAAGTATATATATACCCACTCATCACGGCCATTTTTGTTGTAACCATTTCTGTGTTTATAAATGCATTATCGCTGAGAATTTTCATATTTGATCTTTTGTTTATTTTTGTCCCTTTTTCCCCCACCCTGTCTTCTGACCAATGACATTTTTATTTTCCTTTATCTTTTTCTTTTTCCAATCATGGCAGATTTCAGAGAAAAGAGAAAATGAAAAAAAAAAAAAAAAAAAGACAGGAAACCAGTTGTTATAAAGCAATTTAAAATGAAGAAAAAACTTATGTACAAACCAAGGGGTGTTTTTAGAACCTTGTATAGAAATAAATTCATGTAAAAGGATCAGAGGCAGTGGAGCAACTGATGTGAGCGAGCATGGGAAAAGCTATTTGGAGAGATGTTAGAGGCCAGTACTAAGGGTTTACACTAGAGTTTCTATATGTGAAAAACGAATGCTGTGTGATGAGACTGTATCCCCAGCCACAGAAGGGAACAGCTTTGATATATCTGAAGTGAAGTCTTGGTTGATGAGATTTTCTACATACAAATCTTACGGGGACTGCATTGCCTAAATATGTGACAGCAAGGTTTCAGTTGTGTTAAGACCACTAAGCTTCTTATCAAAGAATAGCAAGCATGGCCTCTTGAAAGGACCTGTACTCCTGCCTGAGCATCAGTGGGCTCAGTGCTAATTCCGTTTGGCATGCGTCTATATACATGTATCTTCATTATACTGTGGCACCTAAAACCATAGGTTTCCAGTGGTGGGAACCATAACCAGGATTGAATAACATTGCAGGACAGTTTTCTGATGGTCAGAAAACCTGGACATCAGCCCTGGCTCTTCTATCAACCAGTGTTGGCCATGATGCATCTTGAGCTGTTAAATGAAGGGATTGGACTAGACTATCTCCAAGATTTCTTTCTGAGAATTAAAAAACCTTTAAGCCCTAGCCAGTTTGGCTCAGTGGATAAAGTTGGCCTGCGGACTGAAGGGTCGCGGGTTCGATTCCAAAAAAGGGCACATACCTCAGTTGCAGGCTCCATCCCCAGTCAGGGCAAGTGTGGTAGGCAACCAATTGATGTGTCTCTCTCACATTGTTTCTGGCTCTCCCCATCCCTTCCACTCTCTAAAAAAATCAATGGAAAAATATCCTTGAGTGCAGATTTTAAAACCCCCCAAAAAACATTTAAGCACTGAAAGTGACAAACTTCCCACACCTGATAACATGGCTATCCTATGGGACTGCTTGGCAACGGTGCTCATTACCCAATGGCGTGAGATACTCAAAATGTTACCCACTTAATTTATGGTTCAGTCTCGTGTGGGTATCCAAGATAGTCTCCGTCTGCGGTGTGACAACGAATATCACATGACCAAATATGCCAATATTGGTTAGCTTCCTGAGTATTAACAACCCCCCCCCCCCCCTCAAGCTCTCACCAACAGTTGAAAAGACCTCTATAGCCCTACCTTCATCACAGGTATTAGAACCAGAGTCTACTTTTTAAAAAAAGATATGCTCAACTCAGCAACAACTCTATGAAGTGGGTACTGTTGTTCTCATTTTATAAGAAAGGAAACGGGCACAGAGCTTAGATTACTTGCCCAGGGGCGTGACACTTCAGCGTGAAGTCTAGGTTCCATTGCCATGTCTTATCATGTGCTCAGTTGAGAATGGGGTTTCACCTAATACTTCTTCACATATTTGGTCTAAATTATGTGGTTGGAAACCTGTTTCATTAAAAACCTACTATGTAACATGATTATCAAGAATGTGTGAGTTAGGAGTGACAATGATGTCCAAAACATTGTCTTGCTAACATCGTTGTTAGGTTACGGGTTTTGAGTTCTGTTTCACTGGTGTGGTCCAGCCCGTCTGCACTCGATCGCTTTCCATGCTGAGGAAAAGCAGTTTTAATTGTACTGCAGCTGAGTAGGGTGATGGCTGGCGTCTCATCGGCCCAGTTGCCACAGCTCCATGTTCCAATCTTTTCAGAATCCTGGTGCTAGTTTACATCAATAAACTCGAATAAAAAGGGAGACAAAAATAAGAGGGGAAGGTCATTTTATGTGAGAACGTATTTGAATGTAAAATAGACAAGAATCCTGACAAAAAGTGTCGATAATTACAGATTTATTGTGAGGATTATAGATTTACTTGTATGTATAAGCAAAGTGGATACACAATCTACTTTTTCCATCTTAAAAAAAAAATCCTGGGGAGTTGGTATTCGTGTGAGTGAACACAAATGCCGATGTTTTAATCTCATAACACTGGATTTGCCTCCCCAACTTCCTTCAGAAACTAGCAACCTTAGAGAAAGTTCCCACTCAGCTGGGATCAGCTCTAGTCACCAGATTTCTATTCTGCAAAAGGGATGAATGATCCCCCGGGTGCTGAAAAGGGATATTTATGAGAAATCATCCAAGAGACAGGTTTTTGTGGGTGGTTTTTGTTTGTTTTACCTCATGACCGCACACTCCCGTTGTGGAGGGAGAAAAAAGTTCGATGGAGGATGCAAAATGGCGACCTCCGGTGACGTCATGACTGCCACGGTCGGTCGCGTATCGGGGCTCAGTGAGGGCGGAAGCGGGCTCCAGCCGCTTCAGGGCGCCTCTGCGGGCGCCCTGGGTACTTACGCAAAAGGACGAGTGTCGACATCGGGCCGCTGTGTCCCGGCGGATAACTCACTAAGGGCGGAAGTTCTCCTCTTAAGGGCGGAAGGGCCCAAACCCAAGAATAATAGCTTCGGCGCCTGTCGCGTTTCAGTCACTTCCGGGGTGGATCGGAAGTTGCTTTGTTTTGCTTCAAGATGGCTGCGGGGATGTATTTGGAACATTATCTGGACAGTAAGAGCAGTCTGGAGGAGGGGGTCAGGGGTCACAGCGTGGTGGGGCGGGGGCGGGCTGAGGAGATCTAAGGCCCCGAGGTCCCGGTGGTCAGAAGGTCACCATTGTGCAGGGGCTTCCGGGAGAGAAACTTTGAAGGGTGTGAAGAAAGAGGGGGCGGGGCAGCAGGGTCGAACCCGGGCTTTTGGGTGTAAGGTGAGGGAGGGGCTGCGCGGTGGGGCTGAGGGATGTGGCTTGAAGAGAAAATATTTGCTGGCCCCGTCTTCAGGGTCTCCAACCTCTGGGTATATATTTTTCTCAAAATCATTCCGAATCTTTCTTCCTTTGTGCAGACTATACATCTGGTCGTTTTAGTATTTCACTCACTGCCATTTGGAGCAGCGACAAAGATCTCGCGGCTCCTCCGCTTTCTCTTTCTCAGGAGTGCCTTCTCGTGGGGGTGGGGGTTATGGGTGACACTGTCAGATGAACTGGAAGGCTTCTCTTCTGGGAGTAAAGATCCAGTTCCCATCAAATGTTTATACCGTTTATGTAACCCACCCCTTCACAAAGCCTGTCACCCCGTGCGCTTACATTTGTCTTAGTGTTGGGAGTCATTCAACCATGCATTCATTCATTCACTTATTGAGGGTCTGCTATGGTTCAGACATAGTTGCAGGTACTGGGGGTATAAAAAAATGAATAAGACAGCCCTTACCCTCAAGTGCTCATCATCTAGGAAACAGATTCCGCTAATAAATATAAAAGTGTGGCAAGTGACATGCTAAAAATACATGAAAAGGACACTTGGTAACACTGGAGAAAGAGAAGCTAATGATGTAGAGCAGTGATGGTGAACCTATGACACGCGTGTCAGAGGTGACACGCAAACTCATTTTTTTGGTTGATTTTTCTTTGTTAAATAGCATTTAAATATATAAAATAAATATCAAAAATATAAGTCTTTGTTTTACTATGGTTGCAAATATCAAAAAATTTCTATATGTGACACGGCACCAGAGTTAAGTTAGGGTTTTTCAAAATGCTGACACGCCGAGCTCAAAAGGTTCACCATCACTGATGTAGAGTCTTGAAGGTCGAGTATTTTGCAGTGTGGAAAGAGGGAATTGCAGGTTGGGAAGAGCATCAGCAAAGGTATTATATGAGTTTGTGAGGTCAAGAGTTTGATATGTAAGACTCTAAGGCAGTGGTTCTCAACCTTCCTGATGCCACGACCCTTTAATACAGTTCCTCATGTTGTGGTGACCCCCAATTTCATTGTTACAAATTGAACATAATTAAAGCATAGTGATTAATCACAAAAAATATGTAATTATATATGTGTTTTCCGATGGTCTTAGGTGACCCCTGTGAAAGGGTCGTCCGACCCCCAGGTTGAGAACTGCTGCTCTAAGGTGAAAGAATGGGAAGTGAGACCCAAGAAAGAGGCGGGGCTATCAAGGTCTTTTAAAACCAAGCTAAGAAGTTTGCACTTTAGTGAGGAACCAACAGATTTTTTTAAATGGAGTGATTTTTATAAAGGAAAACAACTCATATATGATCAACTGGAGCATGATAGCCTTTGTAATAGGGAGCTCAGTTAGTAATAACAGTCCAGCTCAGAGCTGAGGACCTCATCTCAGGGAGTGACAGAAATATTTAGGAGTTAAATATGACAGGACTGACTGAATGAGTAAATGGTTAAGGGAGAAGAAAGGATCTAAGGCAGGGGTGGGCAAACTTTTTGACTCGAGGGCCACAATGGGTTCTTAAACTGGACTGGAGGGCCGGAACAAAAGCATGGATGGAGTGTTTGTGTGAACTAATATAAATTCAAAGTAAACATCATTACATAAAAGGGTACGGTCTTTTTTTTTTTTTTTTAGTTTTATTCATTTCAAACGGGCCGGATCCGGCCCACGGGCCGTAGTTTGCCCACGGCTGATCTAAGGTGACAATTCCCTGTTTGGGAAGTGAGTAGGTAGTATGTCATCAACAAGATGTGAAATTCAGGAGTAACAGCAATATGGTTAATTCCATTTAGACTTAAGTATAGGAATGATCATTGTATCCACGAGAATGAATGAGCCCAAGATCGTTCAGAAAAAAAAAAAAAGTGAGAAAATGAGAGGGCTTGAGAGTAATCTCAAGAAAACATTAACATGTAAGGGACAGGCTATGGAAACACCAGTGTGGGAATTACCAGTAAGTATATGATAAGAGATTCAGAATCCTAAGAGGAAGAAAGTTACTCAAAG